GCCGCCGAGGCGCGGCGAGGGCGCACCGCGGGCAGGGACGTTGGGCGGCAGGGGCGGGGAGAGAAGGCTGTTGAGCGGAACGTGGTGCTGTGGTGTGTGACTTCACAAATTACGCCTGCAAAATTGATTGGGTATTGCAGTATTTATGGGGAAAGGATTATAATACATTTTATGAGATTAATGGGCTCTGGGAGGAACTGAATTAAACATAACTGAAAAGAGCAAAGAACAAACCTTGGAATCAGAGAAGCCAAGCAAACGATGGTATCTGCTCTTATCCGAAACAATCGTGGTCAGCGAATGTTTGCTTTTGCGTTTAATTTTCTGAGTAAATTTAGTGTGCTAATTGTTAATTTCCTATTTTCCTTCTTTGGACCCAATTCGCAATTTACTAGATAGAAATCCAAATTCCAATTTCACGATTGTTATTTTAGTATTGGTCAACGCGTTCGTTTGAGTGAGTACAGTGAGTACGAACTCACACTCAAGTTGTTTTTACCTAGAATTCAAAAACAAATTTCCACACCCAAATCACGTAATAAAATATGTAAAACTTGGAGTTTAGTTACGTAATATCATAGAAGTAATAGGAGAAAGTTAGAAAATTCCGTTTCTCGGATATCAAAACGGTGAGGGCGATGAGATAATTTCTTCCCGGACAGACTTGATTGCTGTAACCTCAGGAACCTTGACATATTAAATTTTATTCGTGTGTTTTTATTGGCTCTTATTGAGATCGTGGTGTTTGAGAGCGGAGTCTAGGATTCGCAGTGCGGATGACGCATGTGTGGAGGGCGCGTCGTACTCCAAGAGGCGGTGGTTTGGAACGCATATAACGTCAGCCAACGGGTGTATATGGGCTGAACCTCTCAAGCTGGAGGTCAGGGTTATGACACACCGTCTGAGGAGGCAATGTTTCTCAGAAAGTGACAGTGGCTGGCTAAAGAATGTTTCAAACATGTGGTAGATTATCCCATGTTGCAAAGTGTGTTTTGCACAATATGGATAGAATTCCTTATGCTATCCTCTCCCAGCTCTTAAAATTACAGGCAGTGTAGATGTAGTTTTGAAATATAATATTACAAGATTTGTATTTATTCAATTTTGGGTGTGAAATCTGGCGAAATCGTAATCATTTGTAAACCTCTCTTCAATGACAGCTTCATACGAAAGTAAACTGTAAGTAGACGCTTGTTTCTTACTGATGATGTTATGAGTGGTTATGTCACATATATTTCTAATATTTTTATTCACAATTTAAACATCGATTCCATGTGGAGAAATCACGCATATTAAATCAAAATTCATTCCATTAAGCATATAAATTGTGTTCTGATTTGCGGTATTTCCATTCGAAGTCTAACGCAAGTATTTCTTAACAGATGTTGGTCGATGTACGGGGTTTGCACATCGCAAGACCATAAACGTCATTGCCAACTATCCATTTTCGTTTCGTGACTCCTTTTCTTACATATTTCGATATACTATCATGAATTATCCACCTTAATCCTGTGAAGAGAAAACTGAGAAATGATTCATTTGGTGCACGTGAGTGAAATTGAAGAGCGGTGACATGATCTCCTGTTTGTATATTACTGTCAGAGGCATTTTGTACCCTTTTTTGAGTCTCCACTCGATTGTCAGAAAACAAACGCTTGTATTTAAACATTTCAGATCCTTTGTTCATTAAAGATTAATATTTCCATGCCTTCCTGATATGATAAATACGCCACGTTCAGCCACATTCAGGTGATACAAACGTGATACATTTCTTGTAGATACATTTGCTGTAGGTATCAGACTACGGAGAGAAGGACCTCCAAAGCTGCTATGAATTGTTGTATTAAGTACATCGACATCATTAGCTCGTATTGTAATAATTATATAGGTTACCGGTTTGTGTGTCTCACTAGAACTTCACTGAAACAAATTACCTATCCGTTCACGTCCAACGGACAGCAACAAATAACCTTCTCTGTCGAATGTTATTCCCCCGTGAGTGAGTGAGTGAGCGAGAGGAAGGCGGTTCTCGAAGCAGCGCCACTTGGCAGCTGGGCGCCATTTCCCTTTCATGAGCTCCGAATTCGCCATCTGCGCGCGGCCCCTGCCCCGTGACCCGCGCGCGCTCTCTCTCGCGGTATTTGTCTTCGCGAGCCGACGCGCTTAACACAGTTTCTGCCGGTAAATTACTCGGTAATTACTTCTATTACTCCACGGCCGCCGGCGCTCGACTGCCCTATACGGCCTTGCGGGCGGGGTGGAGGCGAGCCGGCCGGCGGCCGAGGACGCGCGGGCGGTGACCGCGGCCTTCACCGGGTGACCCCGTTGGGGCGTGGGCGACGCACCTGACGCACCCCCGCGCCGGCCCGCCCGCGC